AGGACAGGGGAATAATGATGGAGTACCTCAAAGTTTGATGCAAAAACGCATGATCGCACCGGCTCGTCTGGTGCGTCCCAGCCTTGGTTTCTTATCGAAATTTCATTTCTCTGATTACTGATAGCTCTGTCTGTATAGTTTATGATGTCATGGGGGCGAATTTTGGGAACCAACCATGTGTTATCAGCGAAACTGACTGTCTATAAAAAAATGATAACTAAGTAACAATGTGTTTTGAGACAAAATATAATTTGCTTGTACAGTTGTACGGAACGCAAAATACGGTAATTCTTCAGATCCGCGTGGTAATGTAGGCCATTAGTTTTTATGCGGCGTGTGCGTGTGTGTGTTTTTTGGGTGGATGAATGGGTGAGTGGGTGGATAAGTGGAATTTGTCACCCTTTTTCAACTCAGCAACTTGAAAAACTGGAAAGCGCAAATTATGAGAGCGTGTTTCTAGCACACTTGTCATTCTTACAGCTTGAAATCATTCCTCCCAACCGACTAGAAAATATGCTAATTTTATGACGGAAAAACTATTTCGGGAACAAGAAAAGCTGGAAGGCTGAAATTCCACACTAATGTTCCCTGCCTATGTGTGAACTAAAGAGTTCAAATTTAGCCATCAAGCACGCCTACACTATGTATACAGCCACATAAAATTCACGACTGGCATTGCGACAACTCGAAAATAGTAGCTAAAAATTTGTTAGAATATTTATCGTCCATCTGGGAAATCGCATACCTAAAACGACTTTCGATTTGCACTTGCACCGATTTAGGTCACTTCAAAGATATTTGTGCCGAAATGAGACTATTTTGCTTACGGACAAGCTGCGAGGCTGCAACTTTTCAAGAATGTTCTTTGCGTATGATTCAAACACGGATTGGAGATTAAATTCCCTGCACAAGCAAATTGCAAATGCTTGATTTTATCGCAAGCCCAAAAGCGAGTGCGTTCTAATGATCACGTAATCCTTCTGTTCCGACATCCTGCGCATTTTCAAATTCGCATTTTTTGACGAACATCCTCTTGGCGGATAACGACGGGGCTTTATGCAGAATCATGTATATTGAGGTTCACGCGGCCCGTGATGCAACATTACTATCCTGTGTACAAGAAAACATCAAAACACAGCCATCATTGTCCGCGTGTTAAACGATAACACAGGGATCAATCATGCTGTTAACGACTTGTTGCAAGCCAGTGCAGGAACGCATGACCGCGCCAACAAACCTGGAGCGTTCCAGCCTGGGGTTGCTCAGTGTTGCAGCGCAAATTGCTTTTTTGAGTCTGCAATCACGTAAATTCATAAATACTGTTTTTGGGCAAAACCAGTGTTTACCATAAATGAAACGAACTTAAAACATCAGGAAACAATGTTATCAAAAATGAGAAAAAAGCGATAAGAACATATCCGAGCAAAAGTGTTTTCTTTTGGTATTTTCTTTATAACAAACAATTCCGGCTCTGTTTCTACAATCATTGTTTTCCGGCAATCCTTTCTTGGCTTCCCAACCCTAAAACTTGAATACCAGGGTACCAAAACCACTAGGAAATCAACATGTGCTTTCCACTTTAGTGATGCTATTGAGATGTTCCCACATGTCTGACACTGTTTATGCTGCCACTCACATATCGGAGGAAATCACATGGTTAGCATTCCCAAACAGAAAAAGTCTCAAAAAATCAGGAAATTTTTGTAACCATTTTGATCGCTCTCAGAAAAGCACAGTGCCTCTAGGTTTTTATTTTCCTGAAAGCTACTGCTGCAGCTTCAAAAGTCTAAAAATAACTCCATTTGCTTTCTTCAAAAACCGTTTTGTATGAAATTCAGAGGCAAACAGAAGTAACCTGAAAAAGTACTTAAGAAAGAAGCGCCAGCGTGCTGGCAAAACAGTCAGTGGCGCCTGCCAATTTCAATAATCAAAGACGTACAGCCGTAAAATGAAAGAGTCATTGACCGATTGCTTTAAAGTAGGCCTAATTAATTACACGAATAGCTAATGGATTGGTTTTATCAACCAGCGGTGCTCCTGTTGCTACTTATTTTGGTTCCATGCACCTGTGCAAAGCATTCAGTGATTAACGAGGAAGAGAAGAAGCATGAATTGGCCTTCGAAAAATTCATCAAAAAGTAAGCCTTCAGTTTATCACTTGATAAGTAATATTTTAAACAACTACTAGTACACCAAGAGTTCATCATTATTCAGGGACAAGGATGTAGCTGACAGCCATGCCATTTCATTTCTTCATTCCATGACTGTTTGATTAGATTGTCGGCGGTACTGATGTTCCTTTCGCCTCCTGAAACTCAATGATTCTTCCGACAGAAATACTTTGGCAAGCTTTTACCACTTGAAGATTCAGCAATTCCTTCAGAAGACAAAACGAATGCTAAGGCTGCCTGACTGAAAGGCAATGCAGCACTGGACAGATTGACAGACCAATTGCATAATTGGAAAATCAGAATGATCTAGGCCTGCCTTACTAGATGTAAATTCACTATAGGCTTCCACAAACTCATTTACAAAATTCAGCCATCAGCGTCAATTTTCCAATCACAAGGAGAAGGAACATCGCTTCAATGTCTTCAAAGAGAATATGCGGCAAATTGATGAGCTAAACAAACGGCACAATACCACCACTCTCTTTGGAATTACCAAATTTGCCGATTGGACCAAAGATGAATTTAAAAATGTAAGTGCAAATTTTGCACAGAAAATTCGTCATTGATGCAGCTAGCAAGCAACTTCTCCATTCTGTTCCAGTCCTTTTTCATTCATTCAATTTCATGCAGCCGTTTGTACGATTCCTTTCATTAATTTGACCGCTTCTTTGCGACCTTATAACATAATTATTTGTTAAGTAAAAGCATAATTTTGAAAGTATTTTAAAATATATGCTACTTCGTAACGTTGTAGTTCTTTGGTGGAAATACTGATGTTGTTTATTTATAAGTCGAATGCAGAAAAGCAGTCTCAAGTCTTTTTTTTTTGCTATATCCTGTGATCAAGGTTACTGATGAACTTTTTTCTCATGACAACTCTGTTCTCCTTCAGATGTTTTTCATTTCTGCGGAAAAATTTAAAATTTAAATCTTGTATTATTACCACTACTATTATCATTACAATATGAAGAAGGTAAAAGAATAGTGATTTTCAGTGAATGTATTTCTTTTCCTTAATAACTTATAAATATCGCCACTGATACCCTCATTCATTATTATTTTATCAATACATTTTCAGAGCTTTTCAAGACGCATAACGGACGAAACTTCTTTATTCTTTCTTAATAGCATTACCAATTTTTACAACAAAAAACTTCAAAAAATGCATTTTCATTCCAGGAATGCCCCTGCCTAGCAAGTAACGAGTAGAATTTTTCTCATCTCTGGTTCTGTAACATGTTAACTGAAACATTTAGCTGTTCATGGATACCAAATATTTGGAGCCACCTGCAGATATGAAAAAATATAAACCCACTGTTGGCGGTACGATTGTCGGAGCAGGACAAAAAATTGATTATCGCCCATATCTAACTCCGGTTCGTGATCAAGGTCATGCATCTTCCAATTAGCAATTGCTTTGGCTTCTTTGTTTTAGCATATTTCTCTTTTAGCGTATTGAGAGTATTTTGTGAGTATCAAGATCGCTCGAGCTGCCAGTTTGAATATCTCGAATTCTACTGGAATGCTACTACATGCTGGGAGAAACTATGCGATTCCTTCGATCCTGCACTACACAGCCCCAGTCAATACCAAGCATTGGCAATCTAGCTGAAGGGAGGAGGGGTCATTCAAAACGATTAATTTGGAGAGGAGAAGGATCCGTACTGGTCGATGCTACTGCAGGATTGGGTATCTGGGATAATTACGCAATTTCGAAGTGAAAGGAGACTTTTCCGGGAGCGAATGGGGCCAGGAAAAAAGAGACTGTGATCGGTTTAACCAAGAAGACCTAACTGTTTTAGCGCCTCCTTGTCACCCTTCGGCCCCTTCTAGCTCTACCGAAGCATTTTAACACATGATGAAACTTAGGCAACGACGAGTTTCTCTATTCTTAGGACAGTGTGGAGCGTGTTGGGCCTTCTCAACAGTAGCCAACTTGGAATACTGGTACATGAGGAACAACCGGCAAAATTTGGACTTCTCCGAACAAGCACTGCTTGACTGCGATACACAAAGCCAAGGCTGCAATGGAGGTTACCCAAACAGCGCATTCAAGTAAGTACCACTTCTTGAGTTTACCAGATGATCTGTCTTTCAGCACATTGAGGATATTATAGCACTGCTCAGGTGTCCTTAATAATTATGCTGAATTACAAAAGCACGTGGAAAAGTCGTAAAATCGTCCTTATGGATATTCCTGAACCGATGCATCAATCCCGGATTTTGGCAAAAGACAGTACTTGTGAAATGCCTTCTCGCTTCGCTCTCTGTAAGAGACGGAAATCAGGATGATAACAAGTGCCTTAGAGCAACTACCCGGTGGAAAGCAACTATTCGTTGGATTTCTGTCCCGGAGTTGTTTAAAACAAGTTG